CGCAGGAAACTGGTGAGGAGCAAGGATGTGTTTCCTCTCACTGGGGTGGCTGGGGAGGTGGCCAAGTGCAACCAGCAGCTTCTCCATTGTCTCCTTTCTCTTCAAATGCCAGGAGGGCGGAGACTCCATTCTCCCCTGCACAGCAAGTGCCTAGCGGTCTGTGTGCCAGAAACATTTGCCCAACAACTGTGGAGTATATTGACAGAGGCATATCACGGGACCAGGAGGGAGCCCAAGTTCTTTTCAAAAACCACATTTTCGGGACTGGCAAGAGAGTCAGCGAGCAAGGAGCTTGCCACTGAACCCGACAGCTTGAGTTCATGGTGGAAGGAGAGAACCAGCTACTTCAAGCTGTCCTCTGACCTCTGACCTCCGCACGTGCACGATGTGACAAGCTCATGCACATACACATACACACACAAAATAAATACCTGCAGCATTTTTTTTTCTGAAAGAAGCCCTATTTTAAGAGAAAAACAGGCTACTCCCAGAAGACAAAGAATAGAGTTCAAGGAGGGTTCTGAGTCTGAGCAATCAGAGACAGTGCAGGGAATGTGGAATTGATCTCGCAAGTGACAGTGACGGGCGCAATCTTGCCGATGAGCGTATGTGCTCATCACAGGATCATCACGTCAGAGCTGGGAGAGATCTCAGGAAACTTTGGATCATCTGCTCATTTCTTTATAGATGAAGAAAAGACGAAGGATAACCTTGGGAGTGTCCTCGCTTTCCACCAGGTGTATAAGCCAGGCTAGCTAGCCCTTAAGTTTCTGGAGGATTCTCCTTTCTTGGCCTCCCATCCCAATATATAAGAGCTGGGATTGTAGAAGTTACCGTGTGCAGCTGGACCAGAGCTCTGCAGATCCAAACTCGGGTGCTCACACCGGCACGCCAAGCGCTCGGCTCAGCGACCCGACACTCAGCCCTATTCTTTTTTATATTGCTGATCTCCAGCTACATTAAACTTCCTTTTCCACGTGAAGGCTCAAAGAGTTTTCTGAAGCAAAATAGAAATACAGTCTTCTAAAGTCTGAAATCTATTCACAAGGAAAACACTTATTTTAGAATTTAGTTTCATTTTTTAAAAAAATCTCTTAGCGAAGTGATGGAGGTGGGTCTTGTAATAATAAAGAAACTGCCTCGGCCCTCATAGGACAGAAAATTAGGTAGGCGGAGTAGACAGAAGAGAATGCTGGGAAAAAGAAGCTTAGTGTTTGAGTCGCCATGATTCTCCCTCTCCAGACAGACGCAGGTTAAGATCCTCTCTGGTAAGCCAGCTCATGGGCTACACAGAATATTAGAAATGGGTTAGAACAATATGTAAGAGCTAGCCAATAAGAAACTGGACCTAGCCGGGCCAGGCAGTGTTTGAAAGAATACAGTTTCCGTGTAATTATTTCGGACATAAGCTAGCCATGCGGGCGGCCGGGGACGCAGCCCTGCCGCCGCTCCTAATTCAACAGCGAAGTTCTTATCATTCACCGAAGATTGGGCAGCTCACCACGCTCCCTTTTTCCTTTGGCTGCCAGGAAGCTTATAACTAAATTTAGCACTTACTCCTTCAGTAATAGTGGTCTCGATTTTTAGCAAACAGTACTTATTACTCCCCTCCATGACCCTCTTATACAACTATTTTAATGACTTTATTGCATATGTATCTTTTTAAAATATTTATTTATTATGCATACAATGTTCTGTCTGTGTGTATGCCTGCAGGCCAGAAGAGGGCACCAGACCCCATTAAAGATGGTTGTGAGCCACCATGTGGTTGCTGCGAATTGAACTCAAGACCTTTGGCGGAGCAGGCAATGCTCTTAACCTCTGAGCCATCTCTCCAGCCCCACATATGTATCTTTTACTGTAGTCACCTCAAATTCTTTTTGGAAGCCAGCCAGGTACAAACCACCAATAAACCAAAACAGAAGGCGAATTTCATCTTGTTGGGCTCTACAGTGATGGTTACTTCCAGGATGATGTCCACTTTGAGACTACATCCGTGACTTGAAAGCCCAGACTGTCCCTCATGGCCTCGTGTTTAGATAGAAGGAAGTCACCACAGGACAGATTGCATACAACTGGCTAGTTCTAAAATTGTAGGGTCTGCCTGCTAACCAGGCAAGCCCATGGAAATGTGCTGAAAATGAAAACAAGATGTGAAAGGCGAAGGCCTCCTTCCCCACACTGACGTGGCAGAACTGCTCTTACAGGAGATGGCTCAGGGGGCCAGCCTGGGCACTGAGTGGTCAGCAGGTGGCCGGCTGGGTCCCATCCACCCTCAAGTTTTCTGCTCACTACAACCACAAATCTCACCCTCACCACGAAGGAGACATGAGATCACGCAGCCTCTATCTCCTCTGGATTCTGGCCACGTAAAAAGATTAAGCCACAAGGGTTTCTCTTCCCTCCCTAGATGAAATTCCTTCTCAACCACAAAAATTTCACCCAGGCAGAGTTTGAAAAGCAATAAAGGAGTCGGTGGGGATCTCGCCTGCTGGCTCCCTCTTCTCTTTGAACCTTGAGTTACCCTTGGTGTAAAGGCAGCAAAAGAAAGAAAGCAGCCCCCCGAAAATGTCTGACTGTTTATGCATTTGAATCCGAGATGCCTGGTGGCAGTTTCTTCGCACTTTTCAGAGTTTGTGAATTAGTTCTTTATTCCTCTGGCATTGGACATCATTTCTGTGATCATCGAGGAGATATGTTCAAAAGAAAAATGGTTTCCAGGATCCTGTTGCCTGAGGCAATATACCTTCTCTCTAGGGCCCATTGGGATTCTATTCATGATCTCCTGCGAGTCAGAGCCAATTTGTTCAGATAGTGACAAGAGGATGCTGCCCCAATGTTCCTAACACCTTGAAGGATGAGACACATCCAAGAATCCATGATGCTTCTTTAGAAAAGCTTCCATGCAGTGATAACTGCAGGCAAGACTGTGGCCTGGCAGCCACGGCTCAGTGGGGTTCTCCCCAGCCCCAGGCTGCCTTGGTCTTTAGCCTCATCTAACTCTTACCTGCAAGTCCTACACAAACAGCCCTTCTGATTCAGAGTCTCTAAAACCAGATAATACTCATGGGTGCGTCACGGAGCAGCTCTGCCACTCTGACGTGTCCTCAAAGCAAAGCTGAGGGCTGAGGAGATGGCTCCATTGATGACACACGGGCAGGCCCAAGCATGAAGCCCTAGGCTCAGATCCCCAGCTTCTGTAATTGCAGCTCTGGGGAGGTGGAGACAGGAGCCTCCCTAGAGTTGGCCAGCAGCCAAGTCTTCAAGCTCCTGGTTCTGTGAGAGACCATGTCTCAAAATAAGATAAAATAATAAAAAAGATGGGGAGAATTGAGACACTGGATGTCCACTCTGGTCTTCATGTGCACAAACACGTATGTGCACACAGAGCGCAAAGGAGGGAGGAGAAAACACACATTACTGACGCTGCTCCCACGTTTTACGATTCTGGAGGGCTAGCTGGGGTCTGAGAACCTACATCTGAAACAAGTTTTCATGATGCTGTACAACAGTTCTAATTCTGGGAAGTCTGTGGACCACTATCAAAGGGTTACTGTATGGATTTGCAGTGTGCGTATAATTATTAATAGCTATCTTCACACGGTGCAGTTGACACTGTTTGTGTTAAATGATGCCAGCTTTTATCATAATGAACTTGTAGTTTAACTCCGAAACAATCTAGTGTAAATAAGAAACTCCAGCAAACTGGAGGGGAAAAAAATCCTACTAACTATGCAATAAAAATAGCCTGATTTTTTTAAAAGTGGATAGTCAGAACTCAAGAAGGGTTCTAAGAACTTTAAGGGCTTCCACGGGAAGTGGCAAGATGCCTCAGAGGGTAAAGGTGCCTACTGCCAAGCCTGAGGACCTGAATTCATTTTCAAGCACATACCGAGTGGAAAGATAAAACCACTTCTGAACAAGGACTTTTGACCTCCACACATGCCTCCCTCAAAATAAACAATCAAAGTAATAAAAAAGTAATAAAAATTAAGAGATTGCTAGGGTACTATCTTCCCTGACATATCCATGTGCATTTATTGCAAGTAGAGAGAGAAAAGCTGACCCAGCTCCTTCTTAAGGTTTCATGTTTCTCTTAACTACAGTTAAAAAAAAAAGCGCCCAGACTTCGTCATTATGGTAAAAAAAAAAAAAAGAATTCTTCAACTTGTTTCAAGCAATTAAGGAGCCAGCGAATGCGGTCGTTGCAAGGCAGTTAGAAACAGCAGCTCAGAAAGAGCAGAGGAAACAGATCAACTACAAGACTCAGGGACTGTTCAAAACCGTCCCCACAACAAAGGAGAAGAACGCGAATCCCTAACCTGAGGGCATCCGGTAACGCCAAGACCAAAGATAAAAAAGCTGTGATGAAAGGCAGCCGCGTGGACCGCCTCGTGTGGGGAGAGGGCAGGGTCGAAGGTTAAGATGGTTTCCCAGCGGGAGCCTTTGGCGACCCTGCAGCTCCAACAGAGATCAGGAAACCCCCAGTCTGCCTCTTCCCCATGCCACGCACCACTCTGTCCAAGAACAAAACTTCTTTCTAATCAATTTGAGCCAGACGCCCGCTCCTCGGGCAGCACGCGGGTACCAGAGCTTGCACAGAACGCAAGCCAGTCCTGGCTCAACAACCAACTTTTCCAACTCCATCAAGATCTGAATTCTCCCGTGAAACAAGAGAATGAGCTCCAGTTGCCTGGCGATGGCTTTTGAAAAATTAAACAAAGAGCACATGTTTGCAAGAATGCAACCAGACGCCTCGCCCTGACACTTGCGACCCGAAATCTACAAGCCACTCTCCCTGACACTCCTTCATGGAGGGGTATGGGTGTCACCATGGTGGTCTGCGTGTCTCGCGGGGTGGAAAGAGGTTAAAGAGTGGGTGAAATTTGGAATCCGCTTCTCCCATCCATCCAGCCCCAAGCCGCCCTTGAACTTGGCACCGGTGCGGGTAGCGAGACGCTCGTCCTCAGATGGGAGGGATCCAGGCTGCCACGACTCACCTCGCCAACTTCTCGCGGCTGGCGGCGCGCGGGCGGCCGGCTCGGGGGCGCGGACGCGGGGGCCGGCGCCTAGGGGAGCGTCGGCCGGCGACCCCGGGGAAGGCGTGGGGCTCCGGAGGGCGCGTGGGGACTGGCGCGTGGCGGCGCTGAGGGGCAGCCTCGGGAAGCGCGGGGAACCCAGGGGGCTCCGGGTCGCGGCGGGTGCGCAAGGACAGCAGCGCCAGCAGCAGCACGGCCAGCGCCAGGAGAAGCAGCGCTGCCGCCTTACTGCGGAGCTTCATGGTGCGGCGCGGCGGCCCCGGGGCGGCGGGGACCCTCTGCGCATCGCGGCCCGTGGCGGCGGCGGTGCGCAGCTCCAAGCTGGCTCGCCCGGGACTGGGGTCTAGGCTGGCGGCTGCGGAGGAGGACTGGGAGGAGGTGGAGGGGGAGGAGATGAGAAGCAGGGGGAGGGCTGGGAGGAGGCCCGTGAGGACTCGGGTGGAGCAGCCCTCCCTACCGTAGTGTGTGGAGTAGCGGCCCTGCAGCCCACCACCGACAGCCAGGAGCCTAGACCTCAGGTAGCTCAGGCTCGCCACACCTTCATTCATTCACTTCATTCATTCAGTGAGTACTCATACTCACCCACGCACTCAGATTCACTCTCCAGTTCACCCAGTCATCCTCAAGCTGTCTCTTCCCCCATTCAAGCCTGTATCCACTCACTGAGGACTCCCTCTCCCATCCACTCACTCGTTGTCCCACCGGCTCCCTCACTGCGCACACTCACCCCTTCCATCTACAACTCCACCCTGTTCCCTCATGCGTTTGTTTATTCCGTACGTGTTTCCATCATTGTTTTCATCCATCTATCCCGCAGGCTTGGGCACCAACCCAGTCCCTCTTGACCCAGGGCAGAATTTTTGGCACTATTGAACAACGGCTGGATATAACCCCTCTGGATCCGTGTACTCTACCGCAACTGTAGAATGGTTTGCAAGGTTTACATTTGAAACCTGACGGTCCCTGGCTTGGTGAACCTGAGATAAGCACCGAGCTTTCCCAAGCTTGCAAAATGAGAACGATAAGGGTGCTACACGAGGCCTCTCTGAGCATTGAGTTAAATAATCCTTTCAAACAGAGCTGCACAGTAGGGGGCTCAAAATGGGATTTGTGGCAATGGCTACAACAAAGCAGTCTATCCTACAGACACACGTGCACATTTTGTTTCCCTTCTGGCATAGAGTTAAGATAGAGTGATAACGTCACAATCAAATGTGAGAATGGGCTCTTCAGAGATCTCGTCATCGGCAATCAGCAGATCCAGGTCAGAACCGCACAGCTGTCTCCCTAGGCATTCCAGTCAGGATCTGAAGCATCAGGACATCCTTTTCCATTCTACACGAACCGACAAGGAGGCGTTCTCTTAACTCCCTCTGTGACACATCTGTTGGACAAAAAAAACACTCAGGATCACATTGTCCCTGGGCGTCTAGAAGACTGTTGTCTTATAACTCATTTAAAATTTAATTACATTATAAATCATTACATTAGCATCTGATTATAAGTCTTTGGGGACCCATTGTACTTAAAGTTCTAGCAGTAAGGCTGTCTAATAAATGGGAATCTCTTACCAAGCAAGCATCTAAAAGATAGCCGGGGTGCCATTGGACATCTATACAGCAAACCTGGAAAGACAGGAAGCTGTTCAAACAATGCACTGGTTCTCCCTGGCTTTGTGAGGAGCGCAGGTGTCATAAATCCCACTGCGAAGTGTCTAGACTTCCGAGAAGGGTGCTTTGGGTGGTCACAGTAATTAGCAGGTTCTCTTGGCATGTTGCTGACACTGCAGTGGGGATCAGGACACTTGGCAGAGTAAAATATTGACCTGGGCCAAGGGCCAGCATAGATACTCCAGACCTGACATTTGGCTTTTAGATTCAGAAATGCTGTTAATTTGGAGTATGGCCCCGTAGTGAAGAAAGCTTTCCTGAATCTCGCTAGCTGCCTTCCCACTTTTGTAAGAAGAATGTTGCAGACAGCAAAGACCCAGGAAGGCAAAGTAGGTCAAAGTAATACATCACAGTGTGGCCAGGGTTTGGGCAGGGAACACAAAGAAAGAACTTGGAACCGATAGACTGAATCAAACAGAGGACTGGTTTTGGGGAATCCTCTGATGGATATGTGTGCATGATTGTTTATGTGGGGGGTGCACATGTGTATGCAGTTGCCTATGTGTGTACAGGTACATGTGTGTGTACGCCTGTGGATGGCAGAAGACACTTGGGATGTGGTTCTTTAGGCACTTTCTGCCTGTTTGGGGAAGCAGGATCTCACATGGGCCTGGAGCTCACCTAATAGGTTAGGCTGGTCAGGCAGCAAGCCCTAGTGACCTCCCTGTCTCCATCCCCAATGCTGAGATTATTAAGAGTGTACCAACACTCTTAAAGGAAGGGAGGAAAGTCCTCTGTTTTTTTTTTAATGTGAACTCCAGCCTTCGTATGACCAAGGCAACTTATAAAAGAACACATTTAAAACTATAATTAGTTATAGTTTTAGAGGATTGCAGTCCATGATAGCAGAGTAAATGCTTGTTGGTTCCTCTCTCAGCCTCCCAAATCTATTTCTCCTTCTGGAATATTAACACCTATAGCTCCTGGTTGCTCCTGACAGAAATTAGACCCATTTTCTTTCCCTCGCTTTCTAGATAAATTTCTCTCTCTTTTTTTTTTTTCCTTTTTCTTTTTTTGGATTTTCGAGACAGGGTTTCTCTGTGGCTTTTGGTTCCTGCCCTGGAACTAGCTCTTGTAGAGCAGGCTGGCCTCGAACTCACAGAGATCCGCCTGCCTCTGCCTCCTGAGTGCTGGGATTAAAGGCGTGCGCCACCACCGCCCGGCCTCTAGATGAATTTCTATAGCCTCATAAGAAGAGGCTCCAAAATATAGTTGGGTAAACTCTCGTTTCTGCGTTTTTGTTTGTGTTTTTGAGACAAGGTCTCACTATGTTACTTCAGCAGGCCTGGAACTTGCCACGTAGACCAGGCTGTTCTCAGATTCACAGAGATCCTCCCTCTTCAGTCTCCTGAGTCCCTTAAAGACGTGGGCCACGATGCCTAGCTACAGTGCATATCTGATTTCACAATTTCTGCGTGTTGGGAATGAGGTTGGTTGGCCAAGGTGTGCTGCCCAAACAATAGGTTGAGCTGCGGAAGTGTGGCAGACGGAAGGATCCAGTTTCTCTTGTCAACTGTACTTGACTGGCTGGTGACCAGAGACCTCCCTCAGGTCCTTGCCAGAGGACTTCCTTTTTCTGTCAAGACAGGGTCACAAGCCAGATAGACCCTCCTAACAAGATTAAAAAACTACAAGCTTTTTCGACCTCAACTCAGAGATGACAAATCCCATTCATTCTTTGCCACCTTTCTATTTGTTCAATCCAATGCACACCCGTAGGGAGGGAATTACATGGGGTCTGAATGTCGGGAGGAGGAGATACCTGGAACTCTCTCGAGACCTTACCTTCCTACTCTCGCCCCCCCCCATTCAAGAAAATAATTATTTTTGTTGGTTGCCCCTCCCAAACCTAACCGGTAGCTGTGTAGAACCTTCCACAGAAACCATTACCAGGCAGGAACAGCCAACCCTTAACTAACAAACTCTGGAGGCTCTGTGGGACAGTAATGAGAACGAAAACCCTCAAGGGGGATAGTAATAGGGACTTCACAGTTTCGTGAGGTTTTCTCTGGGAAAAGTTGCCACTTCCAACTCTTCACAGCAAGTATTGGAGTAAAAGCTCCTCCCACTTTTGTCAGGGGACAAGACGCTAAACCATTTTGAAGCCCACCAGGCCTTCCTAAGAAGGCCTCCCTTCAAGAGAGCTTCCAGAAAGCCTAATTGGAGTGTAACAGAACACTACCAACCTTGGGAAGGGAAACATCTAACTTCGGCCCCTTCCTGTTAGTTCATTCTACTTAAGACTGGTGTGGGGCACTGAGGAGCTCTTGTGATGTCCCCTGCTGAGTGCCACGTACAGCAGAGACTTTGCAAGACTGACGCCTGATCTCGGCTCTGCTGAATGCGCCTTTCCTTCACACCTTGTCAGTACCTCCCCAAAGCCACCTGACCTCAGTTCCTTACACCCAGGACAGAATTCTTGACATTCAGCAGCAACAAAAACATCCTAAGACACATGAAAAGGCAGAGGACACAGAGTGAAGAGATAATACCTGTACCAAATGAGTTTCAGATTTGCCTCTGGTGTGACACCATTGATGGGATTGCCAGTTAGGAACTTCAAACAAGAGTTCTTCATATACTAAAAGCTCTAGTGAGAAGGGCAAGACAACACATAGGAACAGATGGGATAAAAAAGATAGAAATTCTAAGAACCAAGAAGAGGTGCTAGTGATCAGAGAAATAAAGCCACTGAACACATATGAAGATTTATTTTTTTCCAGACAGGGTCTCATTTCCTCATGTCCAGGATGGCTTTGAGTTTACCATGTAGCCAAAGATGAATCCTCCTCAGGGCTGGAATTACAGACATGTGTAAAATAAAGGTAGCCAAAATCTTAACAGATGGGGGCATAGTTCATAAGTGCCACCCCATCTGAGGAGTTACTGGTGGCTGGTAGCTAGTGGCTATAGGGAAAGGGAGAGTCACTTTTGTTTAAAGTCATAGGCCCTGAGAGGCCACCCATGCTCCAACATATGATCCCTGTGCACGTAGGAGCATCACTAAGGACATACAGCAGGTGTTAACTAAAGAGAGAGGGTGTGAGTTGGAAGGGGAAAACAGAGGGGCTGGGGAGAAATCAAGGGGAAAGAAATGGGGGTGCATTGAATCCAAACATACTATTTGCATGTACGAATATTAAATGAGATATTTAATAAGAAATTTAATGAAATATGTAATATCCCTCCAAATCCACGTACATTAAGAGAATAAAAGAACACCATCAATTTTATGATTACAGATTTGATAGCCTGAATAAAATGGACAAGTTTCTTTAGAACTCATCAGCTCTTCCTCAAGAACAAACAGAAAATCTATGTAGGTTTATAGCCATTAAAGAAGTTCAATAGAAGAAGAAGAAGAAGAAGAAGAAGAAGAAGAAGAAGAGGAGGAGGAGGAGGAGGAGGAGGAGGAGGAGGAGGAGGAGGAGGAGAAGTAGTTGTTGAGTCAGTAACAGCCTTCTACAGAAAGAAGTGTGCATCCCAGAACGGTTCTCTGGTAAGTTCTACCAAACATATGTGAAGAATTTATATCAGTTATCCTCCAGAAGACAGAGCCAGAGGGAAAACATATTAGCTCATTCTATGAGGCTGGCATTGCCTTGCTCACCATATCAAAGATCTTGCAAGAAAAGAACTCATGAACCTAGATGGAAAACCCCTCAGCAAATG